ACTTTTGATTGAATTGACCCAAATTTTAGTCATATGTGAGGATTTGTTTCAGCCTGATTACTACACAAGGAAGTTCTTTACTTAGATTCCTAGATTTGTCAAGATATGTCAAGATAAATATGTCAAGATTTACCACCTAGAGCCCAAAACAAACATTATTTTAAGACCCAAGTGGTTTGCTTCTGAGTTTCCTTTAATTAAAGTTGATTCTTTGCTTAAAAGACAACTCTTTTATTATTTTGTATTTTACTCTTTCTAAATCCTATATTATTGTTTCCTCATTATTATTTATTTATTATCAATTCCGTGCCACAGAACTTCTTTATTCCAGACACTGTAATGAAGCATTAGAACTTTGACCATTGTTTGTAAAAATCTGTGTAGACTACACAGTGAAAAAAGTAATTTTTTAGATATTTGTAAAAATATCTAAATTACAAATGTAATTGATCATTTGAAAAAATTTGTTAATTTCTGTTTCCCACAGTTTCTTTTTCTTGGTGCTCTAAAAGCCCTGCCATGTATCTCTTTCAAAAAGTGGTCTCCATCTATATTAATCATTGATTTTGAGAGATGGTAAAATCTTCCTTAGACTTCATCTACACAACACCCTTGTTTTAAGGATAAGGGAGCAGAGAATGACCTTAAGTGGAAATACTTGATGGAACTGGAAGTAAAAACCTAAGTCACCTGATCCACAATCTCTAATTCTTTCCCCAGCGGAGCAATTTCCTAGAACTGTTGGTGTTAGTGGCTTAACTGTTACTAGAAAAGGGAGGGAAATAGGAGAGTGACATCAAGCAACAGCAGTGTGATTGGTACTGATGATTTTTTGAGTCTTTTTCAGAGAGTCTGTGTTTAGGCAGAATATGCCACCCCAATATGCTTCTTCAGGATAGGACTTTTTTGAGTTGATTATTTTTGAGAAACAGCAGACACTAGAGAAGCTCTGAATACGGAACAGAAGTTACCCTTTTGTAAGAGAAATTTGCATTTATAAAGAAAAAATCTCCATTTGTAAGTATCTCCCTCTCTATACTTGGAAGAAGAGGGTGACTAAATCACAAGAGAATCTTGTCAATGGAGATGACACCAACACAAATCTGTATAGCAAACCTTACCTTTACTTTTTACTGTGCTTTTTCTAATAACCTCCTATAATTTGATGCCTTTCCACCCCGCCCCACCCCAATATCTTTCTTTTGTCTTTAGATGAAGACGGTATGTAAAGTGGTGGCTAGGGCCATCTCAAGGAGTTTACTCATTTTCCCTGGGTATCTCATGCATACATGAAGCATACATATTGATAAGCTATTTTTCTCTGGTTAATCTGTCTTTTATTATAGTGAGCCAAGAACTCAGAAGGATAGGAGGAAAATTATTTTTCCTCCCCTACAGTTTCTACAGTGTTCTGGAAAGGGATCACTAAATACTTAGAGAACCCACAGTTTCTCTTTATAAACTCACAGGCATTGATTATTCCTACTATTCAAAGTCACCATCCTAAATACTCTATTTTCTCCAGAAAAAGATGCCTGAGGAGACTTTGAGTAATGTAATACTGCCATCTAGCATCAAAATTTTAAAATTACCTAAAAATATACTGTATGGTTTACTGGAGGAAAAAATGTCATCCTATTTATGTGCAATAATAAATTTCTACAGAAGGATGACACAAATGCAGTCAGAAAATAAATATGTATGTATGTTTGATAACATGTTCATAATTAGTAAAAATGCCAGATAATCCTAAAAACACCAACTAAAATGAAATTGGGAAATATAAGTTTCCGATTTTATTTTTCTTTTTTAAAATTGTATTGGTTATTCTGGGTCTCTTGAATTCCCATATACATATTAGGATCATCTTGTCAATTTCTAAAGAAAAAAAAAGAGAGACAGCTGGGATTCTGGGAGTGATTGCATTGAATCTGCAATCAATTTAGGGAGTATTGTCATGTTAATATTATCTTCTGATCTATGAACACAGACAGATGTTTTTCCATTTATTTAGATCTTGAATTTCTTTCAACAATGTTTTGTACTTTTCAGACTAAATTTTTCACTTCTCTTGTTAAATTTATCCCTAAGTATTTTATTCTTTTTGATGGTAATGTAAATGGAATTCTTTTCTTAATTTCATTTTTGGATTGTTCATTGCTAGTGTATACAAATACATTTGACTTTTGTATATTGATCCTGTATTGTGCAACCTTGCTGAACTCACTTACTAGTTTTCATTTTTTAGTGGATCCCCTAGGACATTCTGTAATTAGACAGGACATTCTACATGTATTACATAATGTACAAATAAAGATAGTTTTACTTCTTTCCTTCCATCATGAATACCTTTTATTTCTTTTTCTTCCCAAATTTCCTTGGCTGGAACCTCCAATGCAATGCTGAATAGAAGGGGGGAAGAACAAGGGCGCCTGGGTGTCTCAGCCAGTTAAGCAGCTGCCTTGAGCTCAGGTCATGATCCCAGAGTCCTGGGATCTGGGTCCCTGCTCAGTGGGGAATCTGCTTCTCCCTCTCCCTCTGCCCCTACCCTCCCGGCTTGTGTGCGCACATACATGCTCTCTAATAAATAATCTTAAAAAAAAAAGTGGGAAGAGCAGACATCCTTGCCTTGTTTCTCATCGTAGGGGGAAAACATTAGTCTTTCATCATGAAATATGATGTTAAAACTTTAGTTCTTTCATAGACACTATTAGGTTGAAGAAGTTTCCTTCTAGTCCTAGTTTGTTGAATGTTTTTACGAGTGTTATCAAATGCGTTTTCTGTGTCAACTGAGATGATCATGTGCTTTTTGTCCTTTACTCTATTGATATGGTATATGTCATAGGCAGAACAATACCCCAAAGATGTCCACGTTTTAATGCCCAGAACCTGAATATGTTATATTCCATAAGGTTGCAAATGGAACTAATCAGTTGACTTTAAAATAGGGAGATTATCCTGGATTATCCAGGTGGGCCCAGGGTAATCATAAGGGTCTTTATAAGGGGAAGAGGCAGGCAGGAGAATCATAGAGTTGGCAGCATGAGAAGGACTCTGTCTACTGTTGTTCATTTTGAATATGGAGGCATGCAAGGAATGTGGTGGCCTCTAAAAGCTGGAAAAGTCAAGGAGGTGAATTCTTTCCCTTGAGCCTCCAAAAAGGAGTGCTGATTCAGTTTAGCCCAATGAGGCCTAAGTTGAAATTCTGACCTCCAAACTATACAATAATAAATTTGTGTTGCTTTAAGCCAATAAGGTTGTAGTAATTTATTACAGTAGCAATAGGAAACTAATAAAGTGTATTAACATTAATTTATTTTCAGATGTTAAACCAACCTTTCATTCCTGGGACAAATCCCAGTTGATCATGGCATACAAGTTTTTTTTATATATTGCTAGATTTGATTTGCTAGTGTATTGTTGAGGATTTTTGAGTACATATTCATTAAGAGATATTGGTCTGTAGCTTTGTATGTGTGTGATGTCTTTATTTGGCTTTAGCATCAGGGTAACACTGGTCTCACAGAGCGAGTTGGGAAATATTCCCTATACCTGCTATTAGTAAAGCCGCCCCACCTGTGTTATAGTTACGGTTTTCATGATAGACATTTGTCCATGCTTTTACTTTCAACGTATTTGAAATCTGTCTTTAATCTAGATTTCCTATATAATGGATTTCCTCTGTAATAAATGATATTTTTATGACAATAAGACTGCATTTGTTCTCTTATGAGCTGCTATTTTTGAAAATTAGCTGCTGATGTAAACCTTTGTGTTTTGAAGTATAATTACTTTTCATTTCCATACACTCTGGTTCTGCTGCTTACAGTAAGTTTTGGTGTTTGGGCTTATTTTTGTTTTGCTTAAAATAAAATTTAGAGGGTGCCTGGGTGGCTCAGTCAGTTAAGTGTCTGCCTTCAGCTCAGGTCATGATCCCGGGGTCCTGGGATCAGAGTCCCACACTGGGTTCCCTGCTCAGCAGGGAGTCTCCTTCTCCCTCTGCCCTCTGCCCTGGATGCCTCCCCCTGCTTGTGCTCGCACTCTCAATCTCTCTCAAATAAATAAAATATTTTTTAAAAAATTAAAAAATAAAAATAAAATTTAGAAACCATATATTGGGCCCACTTTTTTTCTATTGGTTTGTGAAATCTGTAACTCCAACAACCACTAAACTAGAAAATTTCCAAGACTATTTGAAGAGCTGTTGTTTATACAACATAGTCTGTATCTATTAAACAAGTTTGGTAAACTTATGAATAATTTTTAAAGTAGTAACATTTTATCAGTATTTTTGCTTTAACTCGTATTTTTTAAAAGACATTATAAAATTGACTTGGCAAAAGAAATATTAAACCATATTAAAAATCACTGACAATAATTAAGAACCATCTAAATGTCCAATAATATACATTGGTTAAATTATAATGAATTCATATAAGTTATCTATTAAAAATCATGCTTTATAATAGTATTGTGTGACATGGAAAATGTTTACCTCCAGGTCTTGTCCTATTCTAGTAATTGCTCCCTGCCCTCACCATTTTGGGCATGTTGCAGCTTCCCAGAGTGTCTTACCACACCTACTGGCTTTCTTTAATCCTGCTCACTCCGTTGTAAATAGTTGCTGTGTTAAACCCTGTTCAGGCACACCATGTTAGTACGTCTGTTGCCTGCCGGGACCCTGAGAGAGTTCATACACAGGTTAATGGTGAAATTATACCTTTAATCTCTGGCTGGTGAAATTGAGACTAAATTACAGAGAAAACAATGAATGCCTATTTTTTTTTTACAAGTATTACTGTGATATGTGTATTGCAGCTCATAATGAGGGTTACCACTAGTTAAATGTTTTTAGTTGCAGTTCTTTATATATCATCCCCTTTAATCTTTTCAATAACCCTATGAGGTATCATGGTTATCATCCCTAGTTTATACATGAGGACATATTAAATATCTTTGATTATTGTGAATTAATGTATTATCATTGTTTTCTTTTGTAGATCATTCACGAGAAGTCCTGGAGCAATTAGTAGGCCCCAACAAACTAAAGCAAGTGACGTGGACTGTTTACTAATGCTTATTAAAGCTTATCAAAGCAATGATCATACTACATTCCCAGGAAACAATGGTTTTAGAGATTGGCTCTCCGATAATGTGCTTGTTGCTTTGAAGTTAACAGACCCTTAAACATGTAATAGTGCTATTATCCTGTTTGTTTGTGGAGTCATTGTTTTTGACATGGTAAGCCTAGCATGCCCTCTGATGTATGGGGGGGAGGGGCGGGAGAGGAGTACTGTGTTTCTTAAATAACAAAGTTTTAAATTACCAGTTTTTCCTGGAGATTTCCTTCTCCTACTCCTACCTACCTATTTGAGCTGCCATAAGTTAAATTTACCAGTATGAATAACCATTAGGAGAAATCTTAGTGTCTCTAAAAGCATAATTACCTTCCTAGCTATTTTCTGGGCCCTACCTTCCTTAAGTATTTAAATGCTCATTGGCCAAAAGCAAAGCTGAACATCAGGCCTGTAAATCCTCACAGAATTTAATATTTCAGTAAAACAAAGAAATAGAATAGTTTAATATCATAAACCCAGGACATCATACACCTTAGCCATTTAGCATATGAATGTTACTGAGGCCCTTGCCCAGCCACTTACTTGATTTTCATGGCTACTTTTCCCAAATACGTGCTATTCATCTATGAAATTTCCTCCTTAACAACTGCATTCAGGAACGTGTAAGAATGAGGAAATACAAAATATCATTATAGAGGCTGTTTCCTAAAGCTCTGTCAGTTTCATATTGTGAACTAAACACAGATCTTAGTTTTCAAATGAACTGCATTACTTTTATAATCAGTTATATATACTATGCTTAAGTATATATACTATGCTTAAACCATCCCAAATTCAGTATATTGCCTGTACCATGAGCCTGTCTCAGGGGGACTTTATTTTAAAGATTTCCTATTTTAACTCTGATGTAGTACAGAAGAAGGGAAGTATGGTATGGTAAATTTCTTCTACATGTTTAGAAGAATGTGTATACATTCAACTCTATTTCTTGACCTCACTACTAATTACTTTATAAATGCGGTGTATGTATAGTATAGATATATATATTGACCTCAAAGGTAAGACATAGGTATATATGTAAACCATGGCTAAGGCCTGTTCCACCTATGAAATTTTTCTAAAGACAAATTCAATAAAATTTAATAGGAAACATCAAACAAAATCAGTAGCTTTTCCCCCTTTTTGGGAAACAAGTTTTTCAGGATCTAGAGTGTCAGCTTTTTAGGGTCTGTAAAGAATTATCTTCCTAAAAGCACTTTGCAGTTTAATATTCTTGCCCTTTTAGATTGCTGGTTGTATTAGCTATCTCTGTTTAAAATTTCAGTACTCCATTCCTACCCATCTCTACCATCCTCACCTCACACTTGGACCTCTTTATTTTTCTCCTTACCGTCTATCACCACCTGGCATCTTGTCTGTTTTTATTATCTATCTCCCTAGAATATAAGCTTCATAAAGACAGGAATTTTTGTCTTTTCTTCCCCAGTGCCTAGAACAGTATCTGGTACATAACAAGCATCCAATATCTGTTGAATGAATGAACACAAAAAAAAAATAAATAAAGGAGAAAAATAAAGAAAAATAATGCCCGTACTTCCAGTTTCCGCTCTAATGTTATAAAGTGATTAGAAGTCATCACTCCTGTCCGCATAAGATAAAAGCTGAACAAACTGAAAATCATGAAGTGATACAGTATTACTTGAAAGTGGACTTGGACTAGTTGTAAGTGTATACTAGGGCAACCACTAAACACAATTTTTTAAACATGTATAATTGATATCCTAAGAGAGGAGAGAAAATGGAAGCATATAAAATGCTCAACTAAAACCAAAGGCAGGAAAAGAGTGGAACACCAAAAAAGAAACAAGGAACTAGGGCAACAAATAGAAAATTTATAAATACGGTAGAAATTAATCCAGCTATATCAATAATCCCTTTAAATGTGAATGGTCTTAATACAAACCTGTTTGTTAAACTATGAAGTCATTCAAGACTCACCATTATATACATGGGGGATTTTAAAATATCTTAAGTAACATTTGGATATCTCAAAGACCTTGTGCCCACCTAATAAATCATCAAGAGAGGATAACAGAAACAGGGTCTGTAGATATTTAAACTTAAACTTAAATCTTCTCTTTGTGTCATCAAGTTGACTTCCACAGTGCTCGAGTATAATTTACTCTTTCTTATCTTGCTGGGAAGGGCAAAAACCAGCAGAGTACTCTGAATTTTCAAAGGATATTGTCAAAAAAACTCTCCTCTCAAATATCATCCAATGCCATTGTAACCTTTAATTTCTATTAATCTTAACCAAGTCTGAATCAAAATTTAGGTTGATAATGTTTAAGACCCAACAGACCAACGGAAATTAGATGCACAAGAGTTGTTTCACTGGGCTGAAATAAACTCTGACTTCCAAGTTCAAGAATCACCAAATCCTCTGCAGCCTCAGCTCCCAGACTCCCATCGAATTATCCTATTTTCCTATCTGAGCAACAACTTGCCCTTAACTGCTTTCTCCACATTTCTGCTGTATGACTGTAACTCTGATCACATTTCCCTGGTACCACAATCCCAACAGCATGCGTGTATTATTAGAAAGTTTATATATAAAGCACATGTTATAAGCAATTCCTAAGCAGTGTATAAGAACATAAGAGTACATTAGGAAGGCTGCATTTTATATTTCACTTATAACACATACAATGCTGGTGTTTAGTTTTAAATTAGAGAATAGAAAATCTACAGCACAGAATTATAAGACCCAAAGGTAAAACCTAAGCCTCCCTCCCACCCTAGTCTACCAGCTATCTGGTACCCTCTCAGAAGGCAACCATATTAGCAATTACTTGTTTATCTTTTCAGGGATATGCTATATATGTTGCAAGCAAATATGTATATGTATATACATATGTAGGTACGTACATCTTTTCATACATTCATCTATAAATAGTGGTATACTATACATATTCTTCTTCACATTCTCATTTATCTCATAGGGTTTTTACTGATATATAAGATCCTGACAACCTGGGCCATATAGTAGCATTACCAATTTCTAGCTAACCTTAGTGAACCATAAAGAGGCATCAAAAAGTCTCACGGTATATAGGAAATTCTAAAATCTTTATCCATGACTGTCAGTTGAGGTCCTATTATGTACTAAATACTGTATGAGGCACTTTATGCTTTCATTTAATAAAATAGCCTTGAGGTGAGGTTTATTAAGTTTGTTACAATTTTATAGAGGAGGAAATTAAAGCTCAGAGAGCTTAACTAGCCTAAAGTCCCAACTAGAAAGTGACAGAGTTGCCTGACTCCAAGCCCATGTACTCTGTACCACACTAAATGCAGCTCTCATCTTTACAGGTCATTTTTTGAAATACACTACTCTTCTGTATTTTGTATTGTGTCTAATTTGAAGATCCATCATAGAGTTGTCCTCAACTACAGAAACAGACTTCGCTTTCTCATTTTCTTTCTCATTCCTCTCCACTACTTAAATTACATGTTGCTTCCATTTTGGTGTTGCCTCCTAGAATTCTTTTCCTACAGCAGCAAAACCAGAAAACTGCAGGTAGAGATTTGTATATTTGGCATAATGCAGAACGAGTTACATGACGAAGGCTGACAAAACTTTAAGACTTCAGCTTTTGGAAACAAGATACTACATGCTTTAAACTGGAGGGTCTTTTAGGGTTAAACCCAAACATAGCTATATTCACACTTGGAAGCACTTGGACAACTCAAGGCTGAAAATCCCATACTGTGCTTGTTGTCAGTCCATTGTTTTCCTTCCTAGTAGGCTCTGGAAGTGAATATTCTACCACTTTGTGCAGTTGATGTTGAATGCTATGTCCACTGAACTGGGGTCGTCCAGGGTCACCAATCAGGACTCGAGTTCTGTGGGTCCAAAAGCAATTCTTCAGCCATTGATGAAGACTGTCTGCAAGGTCTTCTTCATAAAACATATCTCCAAGCACAATAAGGTCCCACTTATCTTGTTCCAAATCCAAAATATTTTTGGTTAAAATGGGAAAAGGATCCAGTTGGTTCAACTTGCAATTCAGTGTGATAGCCATTCCTGCAACTTTAAGAAGCACATAATGAATTGGTTTATGCTAGGCAGTTTTAATCCCCTATTGATTAAGTAATTTAGAAAATCTAAGAATATTTTTTCCCTTTTGTTGAAAGTTGTTTTTTAGGTAAAGAAGTATCTACCAATATAAACTATTTACTGCAATTTTCAAATGCATGAATGGATATCCTGAAAACAAAACAAATAATACAAAATGCCTAGAAATGTGGAGGTTTTAAGGAACATTTGCTGATCTAATAACCAAGAGGTTTGGTTTATTATAGCTGTCCAGGGAAACAAGCCTCGGGCTTGAGCAACCAGGCAAGTTAGAACTGAGACCCCTGTATAAAATAAGGATGTCAGGGCAGCTAGGTGGCTCAGTCCGTTAAGCTTCTGACTTGATTTTGGCTCAGGTCATGATCTCAGAGTTGTGAAATCAAGCCCTGCATCAGGTTCACATGCTGGGCGTGGAGCCTACTTAAGATTCTCTCTCTCCCTCTTCCTCTACCCCTCTCCACCCCACCCCCCAAAATAAAATAAGGATAAAAGCTAGATCCTCAGTAAAATTGAAAACTAAAAGAAAATCAGAAAAAATTAAAACTGACCTGTCCCGCCTTAGGTTTTAATGGAATAAACTCTCCCACAAAACACAAGGCCTCTCTCCTCACTTGGGTTTTGATCAAATACACACAACCTACATATTTCAGGAAATCCCTCGCCCAGAAATTAACAGTAAGTGCTCCCAGCTTGGTACACTTTGGGACATCCGACAGAGATAAATACAAATCCCCTGGAGAAACACGCACTTCAATTCAGGCCTCACAGGCTCCTCACAGATAATGTCCTACTGAACAGAAGTTCACAATATCAGATGACAAAATATACATGGAAATAAGCTATCATGTTGAGGCATCTATAGATATTTATCCTGGAAGAAGAAAAAGATGAGCTTTAAGTATTTTTAAATATGAAATCCTTACTAGGGTCTATGTCGTTGGCCAAGACCCTTGATGCCCCGCTCATCTTGGCAGCTATAGCTGCAGCTCCACATCCGCTCCCAATATCTAACACAGACTTCCCTCCAGCAACACCAGGATTATCCAGAAGATATCTAATTTGGAAAGAAAGCAAAGAAACACTGAGATGGGAGAAGGTCAGTAAGAGGTATTAAAAAAAAGTCGTCTTTTTTTTTAAGCTCTACACCCAACATAGGGGTTGAACAACCTCTAATGACTGAGCCAACCAGGCAGACTTCAAAAAAAAAAGTCTTTTTAAAATACTGAGCACTTACTATGATCCAGAAACGGTCACACACCAAGAATATTTACTGACAAAATACTGCTATAATAAGGATTCAGTAAACTAGATCCAAAATTCACTGTCTCCTTCTGATTGATTGTGCATCATAGAGTGGTTTTACCTACTGCTTATGTTGTTATAATGACCTCTCTGGTAAAGTACAAAGTCCAGTTCAACCAAACAATTTGGACCAGGACTAAATAGTTATCAAACACTGAAGATGGATGAGAAACCCTGAAATAAATAATAAACCCTGACACTTGACCTTACCACTGGAAAGTGAAGACTATCTGGGACTATGGCGAAGTAGGGGTGTACATGGCCTGTCTAAAGCGAAAGCTGCTACCCATCTTCAGCTCACTATTGCCATGCAGAAATCCTGTTATCAGATTTTCCTGTTTTTCAAAATCAGACATTTTTACATGAAATTTCCCAAGTTTTATTTTTATTTTTTGAAATGTCCCAAGTTTTAAATGTTAGCAACTGATTTTTTCAGTTTACAAATAAAGGCCCAACAAAACACATCTGCGGGTGATTGTACTTGTGATTGTATTTATATTTGAAGTTGATAATCACTTTAATAGACGTCACTGAAAATGTCAATATTTTTAAGGTATGATGTAAGTGAATAAAGCTTGAAAATTTGGCAACAACAACCAGAAAATCAGAATTGTTTGATAACTCTTAGAAAGCTTTCCAATCTTCAGGATTCTCTAAAAGCTCTACATATGCATTTATTTCTTTTGCATTTAAAACTATATACAACATTAATTCTGTTAGGCCATCCCATTCCTGCCAATGAGAAGTCCTTATCCTTTTCATTTCAGAGGTCTATACCCTTAAGGTATAAGCTGGTTTAATCATTTACCGATCTAAGAGCAAAAACCAGACTGAAATGCTGAAAGCTCTTGCCTTTGTCTCAGCAGCTGTGTTTTAATAAAAAGCATAGCGTGAATGTGTGAGAGAATGTCCTAAAGAACACTTTTGCTGTGTGGGGGCGGGGGAGGGGGTGGAAGAGGAGACCTTAAAAATGCAGATTCAGGACACCTGGCTGGCTCAGTCGGTACAGCATGCAACTCTTGATCTCAGGGTTGTGAGTTCAAGCCCCACAATGGGCATAGAGCTTACTTTAAAAAAAAATTTTAAAAAATACAGATTCAAGTCCAGAGTTCACCTGAGATGTCAGTAAGCCACTAGAGAAGAGGGAATCCTTGTGGGGCCCACTCACTCACATATCTTATTCTTTGGGAGACAGAGAGAAGTGAGGCTCCAGGGAGGGACGGAGGGTGAGGATCGAGAAGCAACATTTACTAGATCAAACGAGGAGAGCTAAAGGACCAGGGCTTTAGGTTCCATCTAGAAACTCTGCACTGGCCATACCTTATGAACCATGAACCAGAGAATTTTGTGAAATTTCCAGATCATTCATAGTTTGACAGGTGATCCTAGGGTTTCTCTTGGAGAGAGAACTGTATTTGGGGAAATACACTGATAAACTGCTCCAAATTAAGAAAACAAGAATTTGGGGATTTAACTCTGGTTTTTTGTGAGGAGCAGGGAGAATACAGAGTTGGAAGGGGCTGAAAAAAGAATCTGCAGAAAACAGGATCTGTATGGGCCTTAAAGCTTCCCATTTCAGTTAGGGCAATACCTAGACAGGGCCTGGCCTCCTGGCCAGTAGATTGCCCAGTAAGGTTCGCTGTAGGGCCACAGGTCAGCTTTTTGCCACCAGAACTTGCATCTGGGCGTCAGAAGCCGCAACTGGATTTCAGGGGTGAGGCTGCCACTGGTGGTGACTTCGGTGTTCTCCTCCAGGAAAGCTTTCATCTCAGGGTCCAAAAAGCTTCCAGTTCCTCTCCAGGGGGAATGGCCCCAGGGAAACAAGGAAAGGCCATTGCTTCTCACAGCTTTCAGAAAGACGCCACAGTGGTTTATGGGAAATGGTGCACATGCTTTCCAGCCTAGGCTCGAAGCCATCGGTCCTTGTCCAAAACACAGGTTCTGTCAATGTTGCTGTTGATAAAAGCTGCTGCTCCTTGTGAGGAAGGAAGGGCCCGGCTGCCACGGTGATCTCAAATGGAATCCGTGGGTCTCTAAAAACAGAAATAATACTGAAAATTCCAAGGTTCACTCACACTTCCAAATCCCATTACATAGGAAGAAAATATTACAGTGTAAGCTCTGTAGCAGATGATTCACAAGTGCAAGTCCATTTTCCGATGGAAGTGCTGGTGCATCAACTTAGGAAAATCCAACCTTTTAAAGGAAGTCTTTTCACAACAAAAGCCTTTTAATAACTTAGAACAGCAAATATACAAGCATTTGATTTTGACAGAAAACCTCGGGAACATGCCTATTACATGAAATAAGGTTTACCTTTAAAGTTCTTTCACACACACACACACACACACACACACACAAAATAAAGTTCTTTAACACATTTAGTAAACCACTTACCTTTAAGCAGGCACTGTGAACAAAATAAGTCTCCATCTTTGGGAAGCTTAGACTCTAGCAGTGAGGTAGAGCTATTACCAGGGCAAACACGGTTCTGGCCTTTATGAAGTCTTGCCAAGAGCTGTGGAGGTTACCAAACTATAACTGTAGACAAAGGTATACAAATTACACTGAGTACACATCAATGTAATCAAGATTCAGATTTTTTCTTAAAACTTTATGGATTTAATTGTCATAAAAAATATCAACTCTCAAATATCTTGCTCTAAATATCTCTGATGACTCATCTTTACCAAGCCTGGGCCAAAAAGGCTTGTTCCAACAGAAAAACACCTTGATAAGAACAAGAAAGAATAAGAAACAGCAGTTTAAACACAAACAATATGCCCAGTTACTTGGGACCTCTGACCTGTTCTGCATAAATGTTTTAAACAGTCCTATATCCATCCACCCAAATATTTAGAGTAGGGGCCAGACTGGTGATCCATGAGTGATGCCCCTGGTTATAGCAGAGGGGCTGTGGCGACCTGGATTCTGTTTCTGAGCAGTGCAAAGGGGCCAGCAAACTGCTTCCAGGTAAGAACACGCTGCCAGATCTTCCAGTTTCTCAAGATAATCCAGATATTCACACAAAAACCCCCACTTGTAAACGTAAGTGATCAATTAAAATATCAAAACACAGGGCAAGCTAAAATGCCTGTCAGGCCACTTGCCTGCGAAGTCAGGATAGGCTTTCAGTGGGTGTCATCTCCCCATCGTGCCCTCGGGATCCCAGGGTCTTTAACAGCCTCACTTCTCCCTGGACTAATTCCGTTAGGAAGTGTTGGGTCAGCCCTTGAATCGCACAAGCCGAAGCTTATAAATACAGCAGAGCAAATATGAGAGGATTTTGGTTTGGAACACCGTGTTGTCTAGACCGGCGCCTCCCCCTCTCACCCCAACACCAAAGAAGCATCCTTTATGAACACGGGACTAGGCGGTGGGCACTCGGTACCTGTTATCAATTGCTAAGGAAGGAAGAGGGGTTAAAAAGGTAAGTTCCCAAAGTGTTCGTGACCACGTTATTTCCCTCCGAGGAGAACGGGACTCGGTCTTAAAGGGGCAGGCACAGGCCTCCTTTTGTCCTCACCAGGGTGGGCTAACAGCGCCCAGGGAAGCTAAGCACTCGCCTTTGTGCGTCTTTCCCGGCATTCTTTAGAACCGCACCTGGCGCGCCGACCCCCGCGGGCAGGCAGGCGCGCGCCTACCGGGTGCAGAGCGGGGACCGCGCGCCCCGCCCTCCTTCCCAGCATCCTCCGTCGGCCTTGTCCTACCTTTCTTAAAGGGGCAGGGCCTCCGGAGGAGGCGGCACCCCGCCCTCTCTGGAAGCGTGGGACCGTCAAACTCTGATTTCTGCGAAATCCAGTCAAACTGTGGAGGGTTTGCTTTGTGCCAGTCACTTGTTGGAGAGGAAAAATGTTTCCCTTCCCTTCCCCCGCCTTTCAAAGCTTCTTCCAGCTGACCTTAGAATTAAATTGACATGAAACACATCAACAGGAGAAAACCAAATTGAATCTTGTACCTATGGGAATGCCAGGTGTAGAAGAGATGCAAAAACAGAAAGGTAAAAGGTTTATATGTCGTCCTGAACTAAAGAGAAGGGAGTTTGGGACTTCAAAGGGAAGGAAAGTAATTCACAGAAGATGAAAGGAGTAAATGTTTCCTGGGCCACACAGAAACAATGGGACAGAGAGGAATTGTAACAAACAGACTTTGCTAAATTCCTCCCTATCACGCCTAGTTCATATTATGCTGTAGTTATCTATGGTGATAGACTTCTTCTGGAGCAGGTCCTCTATTTATATTCTTCCAGGCAGTTGGGGGGGAGGTCAGTTTCTTCCTGAGTCTTTGGTACCTTGATTGTTTTCAGCTCAGAAATAATCCACAGGTCAAAGTGGCACATCTTGGGGCAATTCCTTCAGAGCCCCTACACACACTTCTAGGCACTGGGCAGAGAGTGGTGAGCAAAATAGACACAGTATAAGCCCTTGATGACAACCTTCAACTGAACTTAAATCATAATGTATGTCCTCTCTTTTATAACTTTCATAAATGTACAATATAAATCTATTTGCAATCTAGATCACTCAAGTTCTGGACCCATATGTCCATCTTCCAACCCTCAACATCTCCAAAATCGACTCGTCACCCCACCTGACAACAATTAAAACCCGCTCAGGTGTGCCAAAGGGAAAAAAGAAAATTGACCCGAACTAAGAAACAGGCAAATCATGTTTCTGCATCTTAGTCTGCAGTTTGGGGAATGATCTGACAGCCACGTGTTCAAAATTAGAGCTTGTTGCTTATGTTCTCCGTTTCAGCCCTCGGGTTTACAGGGTTTCCCATTTTCCCTGTAAACTGGAGCCTCTAGGAACTACTAGAAGGGAATGAAACTTTGTTATTCCAGTTAACAACCCCAGATGCATCCTGCTCATTTGCTCCTTGCATGAATGACTACTTATTTTAGATGGGTAGGATACACACCTAGCATCTCTGAGTCACTCTGCCCTAGATTTCCTCTATAAAAACTAATATGACTGTGAATAAAACGGTATTTATTAACTGGCTACTTTTTAAAAAAATTAGCTGCTGATGTAAACCTTTGTTTTCTCAACTATAACTTCTCGTTTCCGCACACTCCTATTCTCTTACTAGCAATAAACCTTAATCCATGTTCAAGATCAATTTGTCAAAGAGTTGTTTTTAACTAGCTTCTGTGTTCTATCCCTGTGAATAGCAAGAACATCCCAGTTATTGCCCAAGACACCAGGGAGAGGAGGTAAGCCTAACATTTTTACAAAAGAGGGTTTCCAGTAAAAATCTAAGTGCTCATCATTGAAGATGCATTTAATAATGTGAAGACTGGCACGAGCCAAGCTACTCATGCTGTTTGACAAAGTCCAAGTATGGGGGACAATCCTGAAAATCAGGAGACTCCACAGCTGGCTCCTGCTACTTTCATTTTATTTGCGGCAATCTTTATAATCATGGGATTTTTTCTGGGGTTTCATGATAAAATGATTTATAAATTTAGTTATGCCTATGCAAGCAATCGTAATGAAACTGATTCCAAAAAGGCTGACGATGGGCCAAGAAGTAAAAATACCCAATGTCCTCCAATCTGTAAGGGAGCTGTTGGATCCAGGCCCAGTAAAAATTCCTATTAATGAGATTCCTAAGGCACCTCTGAAACATCAGGATTCTAGGAAAGGAAAATCTCTTGTCATTCCCACAGTACAGGGACCTCCCTATGTTGCATACAAAACAAGAGGCCACCTTTGGTATGCCCCTCGAGGCAAGCCCTGGAGTAGGATTAACTTCCTTTCCCCTACTCCTCCCATTCCTTATAATGGAGTTGATAATGAGGACATGAACAAATGGTATAAGATTAAAGGAAAAAAGGGTGCGGGCATCATCTGTCAGCCTCTGGGTAAAGATTAAGAGGAGTAATCCTCCGTGGTGTCTATGGAGCAAGGACAAGAGACGAAAACATATAGAAATGGAATAAGTACTTTGATAAGATAGGGTGCACACATTGTAAGCTGCCTTTGGAGAAAGAATAAACTTTAGATAAACCTTTGAGCAAGAGTAAAAATATAACTTTTTCGCTTTAGCACACAATAGCAGATAGGTCACGCTTTGTCTCGCACTGTCACGCTCTGTTTAGCACCTTTGTTTTTAAATCCGAAATGGTTGCGATAAAATGTAAAAAACAAAATCACATGTTATGAAAGAATGGAAAAACAAGGAGATATTCTAATGAATAAATAAAGTCCCTCCGAGGCTCTCAGGAGGAGATGCTTATAACCTGATCCTGTGTCTGTCTCCTCACTTGCCGACGCCGGCCTTTCCTTCAAGAAACCCTTTCCTGCTGGAGCTGGACTCCGGCAGAAGACAAAAAAAAGTGAAGACACCTTGACCAAAACTTGGAACTAGGTTAAAGGGACTGCTGAATGTCCTCTCCCCACTTTAATAATTTTAAAATCGATCCACTTTCTATTCCTTCTGCTATTGCCCTATGATCCTTTCCCTGAATTCCTTTAACTAGTCTCTCTCCAATCCTACCTTCCTCTCTCATTCTCTACAGTACAACTTAAATGTGTTGTTGTTGTTGTTTTCTGGACTTTATATTTCTATAGTCTAGAAAAGGCCTTACATTCCTATAAGATAAACCAGATAATCCATGAAAAATAGACCTGGATTTTCTTTTCTGTCGTTGCTTGGTGTTGATGTATTGTTTTTTCTTAATTAAAAGAAAGACCTGTCTTGCTTTTATTAAACTTGACCCACATGTACCAAGCAGACTTGTGAACTGTCTGATAACAATTGAGCTATCAATTGAGCTTTATGATTTTTGCCTCAGGGCCTGTTCTCTCCCCTAGGCCTTGGTTAAGACAGCAAGGTGCAGCCTTTGCCACATAAACAACCCATCCTCCCTCCTCAACCTTCAGAACTCAGCTCAGGGTCAAGGCCCTCTGAAAAGCCTTCCCCAACACACACACTAATCTTGACAGTTTCTTAGCTTCCTATGGGTACATCCAACGAGAATATCATGCAGAGCTGCCATTGCCTGGCTCCTCTACTAGACGTAGAAGCAGACCATCTCTTTCCTCTTTTATCTTCTGGCACAATTAAGACACTCAATAAACTCTGTTAAATGAAAGAAAAAGAAAATAAATGAGTAAATTAACAAACATTACATATTAGTGTCTCATTTTTAAATTTCATTTTTAACAATTTTATTGAGGTATAATTAACATGCAATAAATTTCACATATTTAAATTGTACAATCTGAGGGGGTTTTTTGGTTTTGTTTTTTTTTAAGATTTTGTATGTTTATTTGTCCGAGAGAGCGCACAAGCAGGGGGAGCAGCAGGGCGAGGGAGAAGCAGGCTCCCCGCTGAGCAGGGAGCCTGAAGTGGGACTCCATCCCAGGACTGTGGGATCATGACCTGAGCTGAAGGCAGACACTTAACTGACTGAGCCACCCAGGCATCCCAATCTGATGTTTTGATATGTATATATACACTCATGAAACCATGACCAAAATCAAGATGCTGAGCATATTCAGTGCCCCCTCCCCTGCCCCGCCCACCCCCCCTCCGTGTTACCCCTTCCTCCTGTCCTTGCCCACATCCCCTCCTCCATCCCCAGGCAGTCACTGGTCAGGTCTCTGTCACTATAGATTAGTTTGCATCTTCTAGATTTCTATATAAATGCAACTATACAGTATGTACTCTTTTTTTGTCTTGGTTTTCACTCAACATGCTTATTTTGAGATTCATCCATGTTGTTTGAGCATCTTTTCATGGGCTTCTTTGCCATCCATTCATCTTCTATTCAAGTTGTATCTCATTTTAAATCCAAATTGCTGCATTGTTTTTCTGTTCTTACACAATTCAGGTACACTAAAAATAGGGGCTTTGTATCTTTGTTTTTCCTCGGTGCTGGAAGAACAATTCAACAAAGTCAATGGAATTATCTGGAATGATGAGAAAAACGTAGCTTCTTTTGCCACTTTGGGAGATTGTTTATAAATATAACATAATTTTTAAGTGTTTATCAATATAAACTACATAAGTTTGTAAATATATTTCTAATAAAATATTGACACTTCAGTTTTGTTTTAAAATCAGCCTTGAGGTGTGCCTGGGTGGCTCAGGTCATGATCCTGGGACCCTGGGGTCGGGCTGCCTACTCAGCAGGGAGACTGCTTCTCCCTCTCCCATTCCCCTTGCTTGTGTCCCCTCTCTCACTGTCTTTTTCTGTCAAATAAATAAAAACTTTTTTAAAAAATTAATTAATTAATTAAATAAAATCAGCCTTGAGAGGCAAACAACATATAAATTGCCCCTAAGGAGGGGTGCCTGGCTGGCTCAGTCTGTAGAGCATGCGACTCTTGATATCAGGGTCGTGAGTTCAAGGCCCACATTGGGTATGAAGCTTACTTTAAAAAAAAAAAAAATGCACCCAAGGAAGTGTGATTTGCCTCTGCCATCTCAGAATGTGTTTCTTCCCACACTTTTGAATGAAATATGAAGTTTGGGGTTTTCTAGAGCTTAAGCTTCCTTCTAGCTTCTCTCCACCAAGCTATCCTTGCAACCATTCTGTAGCACCATGTCTTTGTGAATGTGTAGGTTTCCTCTTTTCAGTTCCTCCTCT